AAAATGGCCCCTTTCTTTTCCCTGATCTCTTTTATCCTCTCCCCTTGCAGTTTGATGCGGCGGAGGCGAAAATCGCGACAAACGAAGTCCGTAATGTGATGAAGGATCGCGTAATTGCGCGCGTAGCGTAGGAAAGAAAAGGAGAGTAAAAGGGAGAAATGATAATAATACAAGGTAAAGGAAGAATAAAAGAAAGGAGTCGTCGCATTTTTTTCTTTGTTCCTCGGTAGTCTAGAAGAGGGCGGTACGTAGTATAATCCACTGAGCGATCAGCCAGCTCCTCCCGCGGACGCAGGCCGACACGACGGGGGCCGTCGGTCGGTCGGTCGGTCGGTATCGAGAGAGAGAGAGAGAGAGAAAGAGAAAGAGAAAGAGAAAGAGAGGGGGGGGGGGAGACCGACCTTTCTTTTTACTCTTACATTTTTGCCCTCTCGTTCGTTGTTGCCACCCCTCATCGGTTCTGCACTTGTCGTCGTGCTCTTCGCTGCTAGCCCGAGCAGGGAAAGACCAGGCCCGACCAGGCCCGACCAGGCCCCATGCTGTTTGTAGAGAAGCTTAGCTCGGCGAGGCAGCCTGAGACAGTGAATGACAGAGGGAGAGAGAGAGAGAGAGAGGGAGGGAGAGGGGAATCGAATTGTAACAGTGCGACACGTGCTACATGCGGATTATGATGCATTTTGATGAACCCCTCGTCTGGCCTGTGTGGAGCTGCAGCTCCGCTACCGAACAGACCGCAGCTCCTTCCTTATTCTCTCCTTTTTTTATTTCTACCCTAGCTGCGTCCTCCCCCGCGGGGGCGCCGCTGCTGTGGAGGGGTGAAGGGGCGTTGTACCGCTTGAGCTAAGCCAGTTTAGGATAGAGGGCTGTGGTCACCGTGGCGTGAGCGGAGAGTTACAAGAGGCACTGCTCGCTCGGGTCTGCAGCCACGGCGAGAAAGAGACGGCGGAGATGCGGACGGGTGCATGGTTGCACTACATCCATTTGAAAATTATTATTTTAATCGATTGATCTATTTCCCGCTCTCTCTTCTTTATGAACCACCAGCGCTTGCCAAAGCGGGTAATGCG